CTTGCTTTGAGCATTCTTGTGATAAAAACTCTATAGGGCCTCAAGTTCAGTTCCTGCTTTAGGGTATCGTGCAGATGTGGCGAGGCGTGCCCAGGTCTTGGCTTTTCCATCTCACCGATTTTTTTCAAACTTTGCCGATCTGCTTCCCTGATTTTCTCCATCTGCTCAGCATGCCGCTCTGTTCGCTTTTGTTTGCCTCTCTGTTTGCTTCTGGTTGCCGCTCGCTTCTTCCGTTTCACCGCACTTGTTACACGCGGGTTTTGACACCAGCTATACATACGTTGACAAGGGGAAACACTTCCCCAAACTTGCGACGAAATCATCTCTGAGCGATTGGGAAAGATTGGCAATGATCGTGCCAAAAGGGACAATGCTATGTTAACTCGTCAGTTATTCCATGCATGATGAAGAATCAGGGCTCCTCTTCAGGAGCTGATCTGGATAAAAGTAAAATACCCAATTTTACGCGTCACAAAATTGTTTGCCTTTATACCTTTGTTATGCGCCCCACTTAAATATCTATGATGTTGCATTTCCAACTAAAGCCATGTTAACGTTGCTTCAGCATGTATGGACGTATTTATGCCTGACTGTTGCATCAAATATCACGGTTCAAACACGTACATTTATCCACATCGGCGACATCTTCTGCCAAAGCTGTTAGCAAACCCAAAAATATCATACCTGGAACACACCGTGCACAGGAACAGTAAGGCGAGCTGTGAAAGTCTTCCGAAAGAGAAACACGTGACCTCGATCATAGTCCTTCCGACCTTCCTATTTGACGCTTTGCTCCCGCCTGACAGCGGTGTCCCGAACGCATTACACACTCACCTCAGCGCGTGGCGCGGTCGGCTCACCCGCGCCAGACCGATGCAGCCCCACACTGTGACCTGCGGCGATCAGAGGCAGCGCCAGCTCCAGCGCCAGCACCAGCAGCACTCGACCAGCACCAGGCGCCATGTCGCAGCCCCAGACGGAAGCCGACGCGGCGGCTGTGTCGTCCCGCGGACTGTTACTGCGAGCGTCGCTGCTGATTGAACTTTTGGCCGCTGCTGCTCCATGACATTTGTGTGTTCCTGTGCCCATGTCAGGTGAACGCCAACGTTAGTGACGGACGGACTTCCCGGCGCTGACTGTCACATGTGGCACGTGTCAGGGACGGCATTACCGCTCCCACGCAAGGGAAAACGCTGTGATCGCCTGTCAACAGAGGCAACATCGGTTCCAGCGGCAGCACCAGATCCGGAGGCAATACCAGATCCGGCGGCGGCACCAGAGCCAGAGGCAGCACTGGATCCACCGGCACCATCGGCTCCAGCGGCAGAACCAGATTCAGTGGCAGCATCAGGCTCCAGCGGCAGCACCAGATCTAGTGGCAGCACCAGATCCAGGAGCAGCACCAGAGCCAGCGGCAGCACTGGATCCAGCGGCAGCACCACTCGGCCGGCACCAGGCACCATCCCGCAGCGGACCGTCGGTTGGAGACGCCTTCTGTTCCGTCATGTGCACGAGTACAGCTTACTGTCATGAGGTTAGGTTACCCAATGGCAGTCACAATGCATTTCGTTAAGACGCCGTACAGTTTTTGTTTGGTAAGCAGGACGAACGCGACACATGTCAGCTACCTAGACATTTGTTTGTAGCTGACAGGTGTATTTGTGTGAGAAGGTGCTTGTGTGACAACCTGTTTGCGTGATTTCATCCTCATGTATATACATTCAGCAATTTCACAGCTTTAAGTGTTGCCCGTGACCATGGAAACCGCCTATTTGGCTTGTCTTTCTCAATAAATGGACAGACGGAAGCATGCCGTACCTCTCTGCTGATCCCTTGGCATATTCAGACTCACCATGCGTTCGTCGTTTTCATTCGTAGTGAATTGGTAACCTGAAGCATGGCTCTTTCATTACGCAAGAAATACATTCATGCTGTTCGCTTTCATGGCTTTTGAGGTGCGTTTTTGCAAACACTACCAATGGCCCAAATTTGTTAGCACCAATCGTTCCCAACAAGCTCGAACTGGTACGATGGTACGATCTTGGGTACTCTCTTATAGGGCTGAACGGGAAAATAACTACACCCACCGTGGTAATACACCAAAATGGTTGTCTAGATAAGACAGCAGTGAAGGTCTCATTCCTCAGAAGAAAAAACAGGAAAATGGAGACAGAGACAAGTTTCATGATCCTCCTGGTTTTTCTAAGAGTAATGATGCTATTACTACTGTGTTATGCTTGTTTATAATGATTCCCACAAATCCATTTAAAAACTTGCGTGCAGATGGTTATCTCCCAATTTTCATTCTTTTTTCTCAAAGTTGGGAGCTGCAGAACCCAAGATTGAATAGAAAGCTATGCTCCTCGATTTAATGTTGTTTACCATGCACATAGTATTCTACGATGTTAAAGGTTTCAGTTTGTGAACGGATCGTTACGAACAGAGCCTCATGAAATTCATGGCGTGCTGGAAAAAATACACTTTGAAAAAACACAGCTGCTTCACTGTTTAAAGCAAATTGCGCTTGAATCTGAGTGGTGTATGACTTGACTCTGCAGCCATCCAAATTTATGGCTGTGTCAGGGTGAACTCGAGTCTTTGAAACTTATCTGTGGTTGTAAACGTGGTGGAAATTGAATTAACCGAATGGCCGACGGGTTGACTCAGAAAAGACTGCAGCTGGAATGTTATAGTCTAGTATTACAGGGTTATTTTTCAGTGATCAGTGCAAATTGACTTTGCATAGCATTCCTTGCTGGCTTATCTATATGCACCTTGATAGCAAGCATATGCATGCACTTGCTAGTTTATGTATATGCACATATATGTCTCGACGTCTCGAGGTGTGTATGTGCACCAAAATGAGGACGGACAAGTAAAGCTGTACTCTTGTTAGGGCGCAAAAGCCCTATTTAGGCTTTTATGAAGGCTCGAGAAAGGAAATCTCCGAAATGTTCTCACGGGGATCAATTCGATCGGTTCGGTTTTAAAATAGTCGCAACTATATCTCTTTAAAGTTGGAGTCAACTTAAGCTTTCGCTGAACTGTTTGGAGTTGTTAGAGTTATTATCAACCCCGTGTGTTGTGAGCCAGGTTGGGAATCGATTCCGATGAATAGAAATCTGATATACCTTTGGTCAAGTATTCCTAGCAATTTTTCAATTACTTGGGCCTCATGAGGTGGTGGGGACGGGGACAGGAGGCCACAGACATGGTGTGATCGAGGCTTCAAAGAGGTGTAAAGCTTCACCCATACTTGTTCTACCTAAAAGTGAGAAGCTGCACGTCCCTGGAGCATCCAGAGCTAACCAACATGCTGTGTGCACGCCCCGGGGTGCAAAGCAGGTCCTACAACCACGCCTCCTTTACCTCTTCTACCCATAGCAAGCACTACGTGTCCTTTCCTCCCAAAGCATCTCGTAATCTATGCACCTTCTTGCCATGGAGCCTCAATGGACTGCTAGGAACTAGGTCAAAAACAGTTCCTGGGTCTCAGGCGTCTTCATTGTGTCAGGTCGAGTATCTTTGGCACGCTGCCAGCTGATCAGCTAATATCTTGTGGCAGTCGGGCCACACACTGTGCTAGGTCGAGTCTCTGGCACGCTGCCAGCTGACCTCTCGTGACAGTCGGGTCACCACCGTGCACGTTCAATGACTTACAACCGGTACTACTGGATTGGCGATTCGTCGCTCATTTGCTCTCGACACTCAACTGTGTTTGTCCCACATAAGGGATAGTTTATTCACAGCGGCTTGCGTCGTAGCGATACAGAGAGAGATTACACCAAATCCAACCTCATATTTCCCCTCTGCATTATAAACCGTAGCTCAAAGGCAAACAGAACATATACACTTATAGGGCTATCGCCATCGTTTAAGAAACTTCTTAGTCACAACAAATAAGTGCTTGGAACTTAAATACCTGCTCATATGCCGCTCAAAAACTAATAAGCGCGTTCTATGGCAAATATACTAACATGACACTTATAGAGTAGAAGTAAAAGCAGCGATCAAATACCTTTATTTGATCTTAACGTCAGTCAAAGACGCAATAAATTGCTTCTTCAAGACCTTGTGACGTTGATGTTTGTTGGTTGCGACTCACGCGGTTGTGAATGGGCGCGGGATTGCGCTTTGTATCCACAAACACCCAGTATTCCTATTTATTAACAAGCCGTGCTTAGAACTAACAAACATGCCAGCTTGCCTTGGCAAACATGAATAACGTATTTAAGTAACATCACTAGCGATTACTAGCCATCCAGTGTTAGTCCTGTCTTTCACAATATACCTATCCCAGGGATGTGAGCAAATATAAATAAGAAATAAAAATGGTTCGTGCTGCGCAATAGCACATAATGATATTCACATCTGAACCATGAACGTGATGACGTTTTACGCGTCGTCTGCACGCCAGGATTTCGAGAGCAGGTCGAAAGCTACTTTTCACAGTCTGTCACACTATTCTGTAGACAATTAGCCATCCACTGGAATGAGTTCTGCTCGTTATGAAATGAAACGTCATTTTACCCTTTGAAGAATGCGAGCAATTCATCAACGCAGGCAGCAAAGGGCTGAGCACTGGCAACACTTGAGCGGGCTTCGGCTTGTGGGCAAAGCGTGGTCCAACAATGCCTCAGTGGAGGTTGCCAACTGTGCGTTGGCCCATTCCCTTAACAACAACCGCAACAGCCGACTCAGTATCAGTGGCTGTTTGGTACTTCCGAAGTAGACCAGTGCAAAAACATTAAACATGTACTTACGACGCAGTCGTGTTGCCATGACGCTGCACACACTACACTCCCGACAGGATCACCCGGGCCAGCGATGTGTGCTTTCCTGAGATACACCACGGCGCAGGCTATCACGTAGGTGCCTTAAGGAGGCGGTGGTGAACCATCAGTAATATGAGTTACGATAACCATACACAGAATCCAGAAAACTATGTTCGCTATGTGCGCTTCCATGCCCCAAGGCGGTTGCTGCTTGATCGCCGTGCCCTACCTCCTCAACACCTCCTGCGTCAGCTGAAACCTGGAGGAGGTGCTCGACGTGATCACCCGCCGCGTGAACTGCACTCTCCACCTCCTGAACACCTCCTGCGTCTGCCGAACCCCGGAGCATGTGTTCCACGTGGTCACCCGCCGCGTGAACTGTACTCTCCACCTCCTGAACACCTCCGGCGTTTACCGAAGCCTGGAGCATGTGTTCCACGTGGCCACCCGCCGCGTGAACTGCACTCTCCACCTCCTGAACACCTCCGGCGTTTACCGAAGCCTGGAGCATGTGTTCCACGTGGCCACCCGCCGCGTGAACTGCACTCTCCACCTCCAGACTTCCATCTAGCCCGTCGGCCCGCAGCAGTCCCTCGAGCTGCTCGGCGTCGGCGTCGGCATCGCTGAGCAGCCCGTGCGAGACATTCAGGCCGGCGCCGTCTGGGCCCAGACCAAGAGCCTCCAGACCCTGCAGCAGCGCCTCCTCATCGCCAAACGTGTACGCCTCCCCGTCCCCGTGGTGCACCACGTGGTCCTCCACGTGGTCGGCGTGCAGCGTGAAGTCGTAGAGCTTGCCGCCGTGCACGTGCAGCGCGTGTCGCTCCACGTAGGCCGCCGGGTCCACACCCATGTGTACGGCGTGCCAGTACGCCTTGATCAGGTCGGCCGCCTTCTCGGCGATCATGATGGTCGGCGCGTTGGTGTTGCCCGAGGTGATGGTGGGCATGACGGAGGCGTCCACCACGCGGAGGCCGGCAATGCCGTACACCCTGCCGGAGAGGAGGGTGGTCGGCGGCGGGCCGCGGTGCTGGCCGGGGGCAGGGGAAAGGCCAACTAAAGCGAGGAGCTGTCACTGTTACCGGACAGTCACGAAGCTGCGTTTTTATCAATGTGCTGGGTGAGAGTTAAACCTGGTGACTTATGGGCGCCGAGACGACGCATGCACTCGCAGGTTTTTAGACGCAGCCTATCGTCTAATGACAACTCAGTGATTGCCGAATGACCACGGTATCATGCAAGGCATAACTCATGAGCATGCGGCAGCGAACGACTGTTCTTGTGAGACAACACGACCCACGGTGTCACTCTAACTCACGAAGCATCGGCGATTCGAGTGACTAGACTAGCGCGCTGTGGCCGTACCTATGCGCGATAATCGAACACGACAACGGTGTGGATGCCCGCAGGTGTTATCACCCGGAGTTGGACGATCAGACCCCAAAAGGCTGGGCGCGCGGGATGGCAAAACTAATTTTGACCAGCTCGTGGCCATGCAGTATTACAAAGCTAAAACTTGTTTTCCAATCATGGGACGGGCTGGCTCCGTTTTTTCTGTATCTAATTTTTCTTCCTATCTATTTTCTATTTCTTTCTATTCCCTTTCCCTCACATTGTCCGTCCCGGTGGCTCAGTTGGTTAGAGCGCCTGCCTCCCGATTCACCCACCCGTGGCGGGGTGGGTTCGAGTCGCTTTATGCGCTCGTTATTTGCCCTTGACAGATATGGCCTGCGGCTGGTGGCACCGGTCGCGCTAAAGGTCAGTTGACGTCAGAGGGCAGGACGGACCGTGCTGAGCATTGCGGCACGTTAAGCTCTCCCCACTAAATTCTGCCGTTGCCTGGAATTGCGCGATCGGATGGTAGGGGTCAGTGCTCACACAACAAGCACTGCTTAGCGTGAGCGCTGATCCCAGAAATCCATCCATTCAAAGGGTTGGGATCAAATTTTAAAAAAATATATCTAAGGTTGTCGCAGAAGCCGTCAGCACTGTATGCAGCTAGCTACCCCTGTGAGTCCGCCGTCGTTGAAAAGAACAACACCCAACTCGCCACTTCCCCGACCTTCTCCTTCCCTACCTGCTCCACTGCCCACCTGGCGGACCATGCACCTGAGACAGATATCCACCAAGACGCAGCGATCCGGCCCCTACCCCACGTCACTCACCGCCCAACGCGCCACGCACCTGAGCTGGTTATCCACCACGGCGTAGTGGTCGTCCGGCGGACCCATGGCGCACGTGCTCGTCTCGTGGTAGATGGTCTCGGTGAAGACGCGCGCGCGACAGTCCCACCACTCGGGGCCGCCGGCCGGGTGGCGGTGGCAGAACGGGTTCGGCTGGGTGTTGGGGCGCGCGCCGATGCGCAGGAACGGCGGCGTCGTGCCGATCCTCTCTGCCAGGCGGCCGCCCTCGCGCAGCACCGCCAGGTCGTGTGGGTCGTCGAACAGGTTGAGGAAAATGTCCGGGTGCTGGAACGGGTTGCGCGAGCGCAGGAGGACGCGACCGCGGCTGCGCGGCCGCAGGTTGATGGGCACGATACGGAAGCCCGACTCGAACTTGTTCGGCTTGAAGCGCTTCCACAGCTGGGGGCGGCGGGTGAGACGTGACGGCGGACGCCGCGGGGCCAGGTGGGATGATCGGGGCGAACGTACGGACACCGGCAGGCCAGCACGCGCGCGGCGAAGGGCTATCACCGTCGTGGTCGGCCGGCGGGCGAGGGTGGTCGTGAGGCTCCATAGGAAAATGAATCATCGGTAATCAAATAAGCAGCCTGTCGAGCGTGTTAGCGGTAGCACTACCGATAACTCGCCTGCATGTATCCAAATCAAGCTCTGAAACCTCCACAACGTGAGACTTTAACTTAAAGCTCCAGTACGATCGCTATAGCAGGTGGCGTTGAGCCCAAGATCCCAAATCGCTCTATTTTTTGGTAAGTGAGTGGATTAGTTTGATACCTTCCTTCTCAGTCCGCTTGCTTGTATTGCTGCTGCGGTACGTCTAGTCGCCCTCACCTTGTCGGAGATGCCCAGGATGTGGCGGTAGAAGCCCCCGCCGTCAGTAGCCACGTTGACGGGGTAAAAGTGAAATTGCACGTCAGGCCAGTCGACGCCGTAGCTGATGTTGTTATAGCGTGTGCTGACGAACCCGGTGCCTTCGATCAACAAGATCGTCGTCAGTGGGCCTGAGGGCACACACACAGCTCATGCCAGCAGCGAACATGATGGCTGGTAGGCGTTCGTGAAAGCACGCGGCATTCTCCGTAGATTTACCATGCAATGCGGTACAAACCACGCTGGCAGATTGTTCTGAGATGCCGTGGTGTGACAAATAGGATAGAAGCAGAAGCATGTACAACGACAGATAAGAAGCTGGATATGTTGTATTACAGGTTGTATTTTCCGATGTCTCTCTTGACCTTAGTGCGATTGCCATGATTTAAAGACCGTCGCCGAGTTCAATACACAACAATAAACAAAAGTAGGTAAATTGAATGCGTCTTCCACTATGCTTTGAGCACAGTTTTGCATATAAAATGACAACGCTCAAAAAATATGACGGCCTTCTTGGTAATCACAATAGAGCGAAGTGTTTCTTTCAATTGCATTTACATCGGGTTTGCCCACCAGCGGCCAACGTATCACCTTCGTGACTAAATCGCAGTGGGTAAAACTCGCGTGACAGCTCCGAATGACGTGTTTCAATAAGAATACGTTGTTGGCCGGAGCACGACAACAAAAAACTTTGCCTCAAACGTGACGACTCACAGTGAAGCTTGTCTGAGTGTTTCCTTGGCTTGGCGCGAGCTTCCCCCATCCAGGGTTGGAGAGGTAAATAAGTGTCAAAACATAAGCGTTGTATTGGCTTAACGCGTGGGACGAGGCACTTTTTGGTCACTGTTGATATCTAACATCGCCATTACAACCCGTAGAGGTCAGTAAGTCATCGGTGAGTTCAGCAGAGCATCGGCTGCAGACTAGCCTGTTTGTGTGGCTGCCATGGGACATACGCTAAGGTAGGCGAAAGAGGCGGCCATGCTTCAAACACCGTGGTCCGCAGTGATGTAACACGTAGTAGCAGTGCTAACAGTGGCAACGCTCACAGTAACAGTCATGTAACACCAAGCGTAAAACCGTATTTTTGCGCGGGTCGAGTTTAGCAGTTAAAAAAGCAACAGTGTTGGCCCTCCCATATCCTGAGTATCAGCCAAAGTCGTGCTCCGTGTTTTTTTTTTTAAACAAACGTTAGAACTCTCAGGTCGGGTCAGTCACCAGCAAGTCTCAAGTTATCAAGATTTATATGATCATGGTATGGGGCTGATCATGGTATGGGGCTTTGAGCACAGTTTTGCATATAAAATGACAACGCTCAAAAAATATGACGGCCTTCTTGGTCAAACGATGTTATCTGTTCGTAAAACGATGTTATCAAACGATGTTAAGTCAAACGATGTTATCTGCTCGTAACTGTTGCACGTAAGCGCTACAACCATACACCCTTTCGATTGCTAGCGCTCCTCAAAAGAAGAAAATGGCTGTTGATGAAACCAATATGCTCGGGCACAAAGAACTTTATTGGCTCGGTTTCTTGAATCACCCGCATGATAAAAGACGCACCTGATATCTCCTGGCTTGCCTTCCACCATACACGGCGTTCCCTTGTGAATGTTTAATGGCGGCTATCGAAAGTGGATTTACTGTGGCAGATTACTGCACACAAAACAAAAGCGGATCAAGCTGGCGCCGTAAACGTCTTCCGTGAGAGCGCACGGTGCCGTTCTGTTGATGAGCTCAGCAGTCCACAATGTGCGACCAGGTGCAGAGACTGCTGGTAGAAAAGTGTGCTTCGATCACTGAAGATTGGATAACCATTAGGGTAACCAATAAAGGGTAACCGAGGTTTCAGGCTAGCCGCGGCAGCAGCGGAACGGAAGAGTAATCCATGTGGGCGAAAAACCCAGGTACCAGCGCAGTGGCACACCAGACGTACCCGTCCGAGCACAACAGCCTACCTGTTCTGTATTTTATGTAGTCCTTGATTGCCTGAACGTTGATAAGGGTTTCCAATGTGAGGCCACGTTTTTTCTCTGTTATGAAATCCAGTCCGCCAAGGCCGAAGTGACTTTGCATGTTTTCTCCCACGCCCCGCAGTTCATGGATGCAGGGGATCTGTCAGCGAATGATTGTGTATGTCATTTCATTGCTGCGCACAACACAAATCACAGAGCTAACAACAAACGATCCATAAAACATGCCTCAGAAAACGTAAGGGTTATCATGATTTTGCAACAAAACAAGGGGCTAGACGGAACACAATAACACGGTATGTGCAGACAAATAAAAAAAAGATGAGTGAGCGAAATAAGATGGAAGAAAGGCATACCGAACAAAACAGCAGAGAAAAGGAAAGGGAGAGAGAAGTGGGGTGAGAGAAAACGGAAGAAAGGGGAGGCAAAAAAGATGGAGGAAGCAGACAGAGAGGAAGGTAAACAGAGGGGAGAGGGGAATGATCAATGAATGGAAAGAGGAGAAGAGAGGGAGAAAGGAAAAGAGGGGAAAAGAGAGCGAGGGATGGGAGACATGCATGATATATGACGAAGGAAAAACAATGGAATCCCTCAGGATATTTAGCACGAACAAACATATGATCCACAGCAGCTCTTACCCCAAACTTCTTGAGCTCGTCACAAGGTCCTATCCCAGATAGCTTCAGTAGTTGGGGCGACTGGAAGGCGCCAGCACTCAGTATCACCTCCTTTCTGGCCCACACCACGTGACGCTTCTTCTTCTTGAAGAACACCACGCCCTTGGCGCGCTTGGTGTGTGGGTCGATGATAATACGCGTCACGTGCGCGTGCACCAAGATGTTGAAGTTGTGTCGGTGTGAGGCGGGGTGCAGGAAGGCACGAGACGTCGACCACCGTTCGCCGTACTTAGCCGTCGTCTGATGATACATGAACCCTGTCGACACAGACGTGAGGCGGTGGTCGTGTGGTGGCGAAACGCTTGGAGCATGAACTTGACGGAGACAGGCTCGTGGATCTGTGAGTGAGCGTGTCACTGATTACTCCTACAGGCAGGGGCCATTCATGCGTCGTATTGTGTGCGCTCATGCCAGTCACGTTCTTCACTTCCGAATCGGTTGTAGCAGGCATAGCAAGGTGCCAGTAAGAGATGCTGGCGGATTAAAGGGGTGTCAGAACCCTGTTCAGGACGGCAAAAAGTGGGACTTCCACCTTGTATGTATAGTTTTGGATCATTGACCATATCTTGAGAAGTCCTTGCTCCTCTTCCAATATTTGGTGATGTACTCGCCCTCGCCAAAAGCGCGAATCTTGCTCACAGTCTGCACAACTCACGAAAGCAAGACTGGCGACGCCAGAAAAGGCCACACAGAGGCACCCCACTCACGGGTCTGCCGGAGACAACCCCACACAGAGGCGCCCCACTCACGGGTCTGCCGGAGGCAAGGCCACACAAAGGCGCAGCACCCACGGGTCTGCCGGAGACAAGGCTACACAGAGGCGCAGCACTCACGGGTCTGCCGGAGACAAAGCTACACAGAGGCACAGCACTCGCGGGTCTGCCGGAGACAAGGCCACACAGAGGCGCAGCACTCACGGGTCTGCCGGAGACAAAACCACACGGAGGCGCAGCACTCACGGGTCTGCCGGAGACAAGGCCACACAGAGGCGCAGCACTCACGGGTCTGCCAGAGACAAGGCCACACAGAGACGCCCCACTCACGGGTCTGCCGGAGACAAGGCCACACAGAGACGCCCCACTCACGGGTCTGCCAGAGACAAGGCCACACAGAGGCGCAGCACTCACGGGTCTGCCGGTCGCCGTTGACGTCTCCGACCTCGAGGCCGAGGTACTTGGCCGCCCGTATCCAGAGTGGCCCCAGATCGGAGACGTACCGGGGTGAGGAAACCGGCAGGTAGCCGCCCTTGCCATGGTAAGCTGAGGCAGACAGTACCTCGCTGACGCCCCTGATGCACGTTCAAGCCTAGCACGCTGTCTGGCGGCTTCCTCCGTGTGTTGCACCTCTGAGCGGTGTGATTGAAAACGTTTGACTTATGCAGATCTGGCTGAGTTGTGCACCGAGATCAAACCGATCAAAGACCAGACGTGAAATCGATATCATGAGTGAAACGCAGAAAACGCAAACAGAAAATGTCATGAATTAAACGAGAGAAACCGCCAAGGCTTTCTCGAATCAATGGAATGGACAACATCCGAAGTCACAGTAAGCTTTTTCGCTCTCTCGGACACACATGCCTGGTACGCTGTCTGGCGGCTTCCTCCGTGTTGTCGCACCTGCCGTACACCGACCTGCATACCGACATCCGCTGGCTTAATGAAAAGCATAGCGAAAAGTAAGCGCCATAGTAACCCGTGCAGTAATCAGCACTGCCGTCTGCACTGCGTCTGCGGACTGCCGGTGCCTGACGACCTGCCGGACCGCTGGAGGGTGACCTGACCTCGTGCAGCATCGGTGCCACTCACGGCTCCGACTGATCTCGGGGTCGCTGTTGTCCTCGGAGCGGATGAAGTAGGGCAGCACGTCCCGGAACCCCCAGCCCGGATTTCCCAGCCGCTCCCACAGGTCGAAGTCGTTCCGGTTGCCCCGAACGTACACCATGCCGTTGATGGCCGAGGATCCTCCGAGCATCTTGCCGCGGGTCAGCAAGCACTTCTGCGAAACGGCCCGACAGGCGCTGGTCACACGATCTCAGTCGCGCGTCGGATATGGGTGCATACATACACACACACACACACACACACACACACACACCACACACACACACACACACACACACACACACACACACACACACACACACACACACACACACACACAACACACACACACACACACACACACACACACACACACACACACACACACACACACACACACACACACACACACACACACACACACACACACACACACACACACACACACACACACACACACACACACATGTACATATATATATATATATATATATATATATATATATCTATATATGCACACATGCATACATAAATATTTACATGCATCATACATGAGTGCATTCATCGCCTAGGGAGCAGGCAGAGGCGCACGCAACATTCGCGGTTGGGGATAGCGAGTTAAATGACATCTGCAGATTCAGGGGATTTATGCTTAACGCGAAACACTCGTTGGCTTGAGTGTTGAGGCCGGGGACGTTCGTCAGGACCCCGTGTGATCTCAGCTTTGAGGCAGGAGTGGAACATTGAAACTGAAGCCGGCGACCAGGCCTTTCAAATATGAGATGCTTGTGTTTTGTGTTTGCCGATTTCGGACTCATTTGTGACCGTAAACAGGTAGAAGCGTCCAGCATCTTTAATGTGCAAGCGAGTCGATTCCGGTGGATCGGATCTAGCTCGTCCATGATATCTTCGTCTTGCCAGTGCCCGCTGTTAAATTGACGGTTGGTTATTTCCGGCACAAAAACTGGCAACACAGCCAGGAGTCTGCGACTTACCCCATCTGCATCAACTTTGCAAACTGAGTTTTAATGTTTATTATACGTAGACTAAAGCTGCCAAGTTCTTACACAATGGTCCGTGTCCAGAGTCGCAACATTTGATTCACATGCTACTTATTTCGGCTGTTTGGCGGCCACCTCAACCCATGCAATTGGCAAGTGACGTTAGTGCCTCCTTCTATGATGTGGACCAATGTCCAGTGGGGCGATTTATCACAGCATTGCTCTTCCCAAAACCGCAGTGAGCCGTAAGCTTGTCTGCCTAAGAGGAGGTGGGTTCAAGGATCGGGCAGAAGATCAGTTGCCGATGGTAGCGTTTAGTACTTAACAGCCTTATGGTGCTACGTGGAAAGAACCGACTTAACAATCAACTTAGCACCCTCACGCACCAACTAGGCAGACGTTTTGTCGCCACTGCGCCTTCGATTGAGTTTTTCAGGGCCTTAAAAATGGCCAGTCGTTGCCACCTAACTCTTAGCATGATCACCTTGTGTGAATCTCACCGTCGCCTCAAACAGTCCGCAACCCTCACCCCAGTCACGTGAGCCGACGCACACGAGCGCACCTGGTCCTCCATCCCCACACAGTATCCGTCGTCGCGGACGTTCTTGAAGCGCCAGTCGTAGCGCTTGTCGTTGATGACCAGGGTGGTAAGGACAGGCCACTCGGTGTAGGCCGTGCCGGCGCCGCCGGCCTCGAGCAACAGCACAGAGCTGTGGGGCTCCTCCGAGAGCCGAGAGGCTACCACGGAGCCCGCCGAGCCGCCGCCGACTGCCGAGGCCGCACCACGGTTAACAGAGGTCATGCGTGGAGGGCGGCAGGCTGCCAATGCCCGAGGGCGTGGCCAGGTCAGCCGAGGCCGTCGTCTGCCCAGCAGAGGTCACCGACGGGAATGCAGAAAGGTCACCGACTCTCGATGTTATGTCTGGGTCAGTGGAAGTCATGGACTAGCCCAACAGAGGTCATTGACTGACTATGCGAGCCAGGTGCAGGCAGAGTTCTCGACGCATTTGGAATGAATACAGGCCGTCATAGCAGTACTTGACGTTCAGTCTCAGATGGACATCATCTAGGAGGCCGAACCCCACCAGATGTCACTGTCACTCAAAGGTCAACAAAGCCGTTCCACGGGCAGATACTCTTACAGGTGTTACAGTGAGCACCACAGTTACGTCAGTCCTTGGCCAACTAGGGGCGAAGAACGCTATTTCTGTGTCAAGCGATGATGGTTCGGCAACGCCGAAGCAACCAGGATATGCTCATAGAGCCGTTGCGACCGGCGTTCAGCACACGAGATAGGCCGCACTGAGTTTCGGTAAAACGCAGAGGAGGTGAGTGCGCAATGTCAACTCATGGAAGCGATATCTGTAAGTGAGCAGTCACCGTACAGTTGCCATGGTTACAATTTCACAATTGGCGAGGCATCAACCATTGCGTTCATGTTGTTTGTTATTGATAGCAATGCCAATGCGATTTTTCCGCGGTGTGTAACAATCAAACAAAAACACTTACTGACAATGAAGTCGTACTGATCATGCAGTGGTTTGTCATACACAATCAAGTTGGGGTTGTCAATAGGGGCGAACATGGCCGACATCACGAACATCTTGATGATGGCTCGAACTTTTTTGTTCAAATAGACATTGAGTCCACCCATTTTGCTTGATCTCTATGTCGCAGAGTGACGCTCAGTCGATGTTCGCGCCTCACACCGGGACGTCAGTCTTCGTGCACCGAGTCCTCGTGCCCCTCTGGGGTTGTACCCGCGCACGATGGTCGTTGTCTCCACTTGGCTACATCACGCGAACGCAGCCAAGAAAGTCCAGCTGAAAAAATAGGGTGAGTTTGACATCGGTTTTAAGCAATTAATTTGTTGTGTTGAACAAGACGCAGTCAGTCAAACGTACCCTGATGTCTGCTGTGACGTTGCAAAAACTTTGTTTTTGCTTCCTCATAACACATATACTTTTCCTTTGCAATGTGCGCAAGGTTAAGAATACACTGTTCAGTGGACTTAAACTTTTAAAGTCGTTAATGCGTTTATGGATCCGTCAAAGTTGAGGAGACATGACGTGCTAAAATGAACTTAACATTAATTTTTTTCCATTAAGCACAACTCATTGATCCCAAGAGATGTGCATGGCCGTTTCTACAGGATGTCTTACGACGCAATGAGTTGGACCCATTCAGAGCAGCTTGGGCCGCAAACAGACGGAGCAGATGGACTGCAACGTTGTCGACGCCAGCCAGGCCTAGCGAGTGCGAAGCTTTATCTGCCACGTGAAACGCTTCTCTCAAAGTTCCAGCCCTTAATGACTGCCGCCAAACTGTCATTGCACCGACACCCGGGCTCCAAAGTTTCTGACATGTTCGACGGTGGTGTGCGGGAATGGCATTGGCGTCGGTGGTAGACTTTTAGGCGCCCAATTGGACTGTTTGGCGCTGTATGAGGAAAAAAGCCCTCGGACGAAAGTTCACCCTGATGTGGTGCCGGTTTTGGCGTCATACGGGGCGGAATCGTAAAAATATGCGTTGTATCCCAAAGAACCACTGTTTTGAATGACAGCAACCGTCTATAGCACGCGCCCGGGTGGCCGGCTAGATACCCTTCGCTCGGGTGGGGGGGGGGGGGGGCAATTTGACCCCCTGAGATCTCGGAAACCAAGAAAGCTAGAGACACTAAATTTACAGGGTGTGTTGACGTGTACGTGAACTGACTTAGGTTAAAGTTTGAACTTCTTAGGCCATGACCTTCAGGTTAAACAAGGTCAAGAAATGTCAACTTCCAGGTTGGTAGCCAAAGTGCCCCCAGAACCTAAGCACCCGTTTCTAAGCAAAAGGTCACAAGCCCATTCGAAGTCAGTGACCTTGTTGGACATTTTCAAGGTTATGGTGGTCAAGGTTTTCAAGGCAGTATGTTCCTAAAACAAAATGTCGACCCGGGTCACCTTAGATCAATGACCTGTTTTGACCTCTAAGAAGTCAGTGGAAGATGTATAATGCCGTTCCTGCTGTCAATAAATCTGAAATGGATACCAGAAATGATCCCACAAAGCAACCCCTAGAGTAACAAATCAGGCTGGTTTTGACCTTGATCTGACCTTCATTCCTGACCTAAGGTCAACATGATTTGCTCATTCAATATTTGCGGTGCCCAATAAAACATCTTAGAGATGCATGGCTTTGTCAAACACTCCGTTGTTGTATCAGATTGAACGATCCCCTGGAAATTGCCCTAGCTAAAACCATGGCCTGACTTGACCTGCCATAGGTCAGCCACCATACAAGGTAAATCTCAATTTTTATGTCAAAAGATATGCTATTTAATTGTCTAAAGCTATGCAAAATTTGCCGCGGCTACGCCACGCCGTTCGGAAAGCATTCTGGAAAAACCTTCGGGGGCCAATTTGACCCCCCTCCAACCAAGCGCGCGTTAAAGTACCGTACACAGCACCACTTTAACACATACCTGTTGCATTTGTCACATTCGTCTGGGTTATGAGATAAGAAAGACATTTGTCGGCGCTCACCTTGGACTTTGGCGCCGTAAACGTCCAGAATACCTTTATGCTTGCATTAAAACAAATTTTATTTTCGCTTCGGGTACAAATTAGTTGGCATTAGCTTGCCTAAAGTATATCGACTCATGCTGTCCTTATGCTAGATACCTTGAACTATTACGACGCATTCATATGCTCTCATACTTTTGTAGCACGGCATTTTCAGTTTTCGAATTCCACGTTTTGCGAAAAGACCCATCAGGATCATACGACTTTCACTTGCCCTTACAAAACACCTTCAGTTTTAGGTTTCGGTACCAAAGAGCGCACGGACAACCATGAATCTTTCAACAAGTGAAAGAGGAGTTTGACAGCATATCAGTTCAGGGCAGTTACGTGCACTTTGTGATGAGAATAGACCAGAATTTGATATTTTCCATTTCATGAAAGAGATTCGTCCAGTCTGAGCGCCAATCGTTCTTCTCGTCATCGTAAGGCGCCATTGAGGTGGGTCAAGGTGCCATTATGCTATCTGATGCTGATCGTCCGCTGACAGCGCCTTCAAAGAGCTACACGCCGTCTGTGGATAGCATCCGAAGGTATGCTGTTAGAGTAAATAAACGCACCTCAAACAGCACGCGGATACCCATGAAAGCTTAGCATTAAAAATAGGATACCAAGAGCATGCCAAGACGGGCTTTCGATTGTCGAAATGTGTCAGAAATGGGTTTTTGCATTTGCAGGAGCGCGTTAAGCGCCAATATGAGCGCCATTGAGGGGATTTACTCTATGCGTCTCACAATGCCATTACGTAGTCTTAGGCGCCGTCCTGTTGGCTGCGCACTCTCAGAGTATTCAGAAGACATAAGGCTGGTATTGCATGGGGAGAAATCGTGATTGCGGCTTCTTTATACTTTTTTGGACATTCTGGGCTCAGATCTTCTTTCAAATACATTCTCTTTGGGCATTCCAGACTAAGATCTTCTCTCATATTTATTCATTGCGGACATTCTAACCACTGTAATGGTTTATTGATTCTAGATTGTTCCAATAAGAGTTGTTTTTTTCATAAAAGTACAGGTTGCAGCATCGTTTCACCCGCCCATGCACCACATATGCTGCTGTGATATTAGCGTAAGAACAGGGGTGTCATTTCCTTTTCAAGGGGGCTCCAACCCCGCCCCAAGCCTTGAGCGGAAAGTGTGTGTGTGGGGGGGGGGGGGGAATCCGGGGTTATCCTGAAACTCTTACCTCCAAAAGGACCCTCTCTTACGTCCAAATATCCACTGTTTGCGAAATATTGGGTCTAAAAACAGGGTTGCGGGGTCTTGACTTTGAATGAGGGCCCTCCCGTGCCCAGAGGCTATTTACGCCTCTTCAGTGGCGTAACCAGGATTAGGCCCAAGGGAGGGGGCCATATCGGGTCACCAGGGGTCCTCCAGTCAAGAGACTCCTTATCACTTCGTCGCTGCGTTTCTCTGTCAAGTGTGTTTCTCCGAGAGTCTTGACATCCGAACAACTCTTTCCCAAGGTCCTGAGGTCTTAAGACACCTCCGGTGGAAAATATGCAATAGAAATGAGGCCATTATTTGTGTATCCGGGGGAACGCTTTTGCCTCGGGATTCTATTTTGGTGGCTCGGGCCGTTTTTATGTTTCAGAAGCCCAGTGCGCGTCTTAAATTGACAAAATTTAGCGGGGGGGGGGGGGGGGGGGGGGTCCCGCGACCTCCAGGAAGGGGAAGCGGGGAGGCATGGCTTCACCCTCCCCCCCCTCACTGGCCACGCCATTGTGCCTCTTCAAGTTTAAACCCCAAAAATCACTTGAAGGCCTCTCCGGAGTCAACACGAGCATGAGTAGCCGTGAAATAGGGGGGATGCAGGAATTATTCAAAAATGGAGATGATAAAATATGAGTGCTTGCGGGGAGCTCAGTCTCATGGACGGGACAATCCAAGACATCGGGCCATATGGAAGACTTTCAGGCTGTGCGCCTGCTCCGAGCATGGAAAACTTGATGTATTCTCTTTACTGGTTTGCCTATCTGTCAAACATCTGAGAAACGGTGCCGGAGGGTCGGTAGACCACCTGAAAATGATTGCATTGGAACAAATCCCATTACAAGAAGAATGATCTGCCTTTGTCGGGGCATGTTGAACTACGTTGCCACATACAGCGCCAAAGCAAGGTGCCAAAGCTTTCAGGACTCCTTAAATTAACTTAACAGCGCCATTGCAAGGTATGAGGAATTTCCAGTTTCGGTAGATGTCCATCTACGACGCCAAAAAGTGACACATCAAGTTTCTGGGGATGGGATTTTTTTTTCTTCGGAGCAGCTTGCAGGCCATAGTCTTGCTTAGATTTCAAATAAATCAACATGACGGTAATTCTGTATACGTGTCTCACCAAATCCATACATATCGTTTGCAAGAATATGCTGCCTTCATTTAGAAAAAAGCACAAATTGCCGATGCCAATATTGCCGTCTGGGGAGCCAACGTCCAGTTCATTTAACTTGTTATCACTCCGTTGATCTTTTCTGGCGCACAATGGTAAAATCCCCGTTCCAAGCAGGACTTCCCGAGCTTCCGGCTCAAAGCTGTCATGAACGGAGACAGAAGGAGAGACGGAAACAGAGACAGACGGAGACGGAGGCAGTGGTGAATAGACATCGGAGGTGGAGGCGTTGGGAGCCTGGAAGAGATTGGGGAAGCGAGGAGACTGGGAGAGAAAGAGAGAGAGAGAGAGAGAGAGAGAGAGAGAGAGAGAGAGAGAGAGAGATAGAGAGAGAGAGAGAGAGAGAGGAGAGAGAGAGAGAGAGAGAGAGAGAGAGAGAAGAGAGAGAGAGAGAGAGAGAGAGAGAGAGAGAGAGAGAGAGAGAGGAGAGAGAGGAGAGAGAGAGAGAGAGGAGAGAGAGAGAGAGAGGAGAGAGAAGAGAGAGAGAGAGAGAGATAGAGAGAGAGGAGTAGAGAGAGAGAGAGAAGAGAGAGAGAGAGGAGATAGAGAGAGAGAGCGAGAGAGAGAGAGAGAGGAGAGAGAGATAACGAGAGAGAGAGAGAGAGAGAGAGAGAGAGAGAGAGAGAGAGAGAGAGAGAAGAGAGAGAGAGAGAGAGAGGAGAGAGAGAGATAGAGAGAGAGAGAAGAGAGAGAAGAGAGAGAGAGAGAGAGAGAGAGAGAAGAGAGAGAGAGAAGAGAGAGAGAAGATAGAGAGAGAGAGGAGAGAGAGAGAAGAGAGAGAGAGAGAGAATAGAATAGAGAGAGAGAGAGAGAGAGAGAAGAGAAGAGAGAGAAGAAGAGAGAGAGAGAGAGCGGGAACCAAGTTCGATGAAATCAGAAATGTCGCAGAGCATACGACACCTTTCAGGTTTTGCAACACATGAATTTATCTTTCAAAGAACCACGATTACTCGTCGTTCATCTTTTGAACAATAGACATTGCGGCATCTAGCACATTGCTTCATCAATGTTTAGCAAATTGACAAACGAGCCCATGTTGCGCCAATCCTCACTGTTTACAGCCTTCGGTGAGAGGGCATGAGCAAAACACGGCCATAATAGATGCTACGCTGCTTGCGATAGTCTCTCACATATTGGGTCACATAGAAATTTATACAGGGTGACCAAATCGCGGTGTAGGAGGCTGTTTCAGGTAATGAGGCGCCGCCTCATTGCTGTAGAGACTCTGTTGTTTATTGGGGTTGTCATATTGTGCCTCGAGCTCTCATTTCCATGCCTCGAGAGCCTGCTGTGATGTTCTAGAGACTTTACAGACATCTTAAACTGCCAAAAAAAGAAGTGTGACCCTGGGCCTCAAGGGAACCCGCGGGGGAGAACCCCCGTGCTCTTCCCCGCCACCTCCAGCGGGGGAGAGTATGGCTCCCTCACCCTGGTTACGCCACTGATTTACATATAGTGTGTAATGGAACGCTGTTATGTCGGCTAGGCAGATAAATAACATCATTTGCAGTCACTTGGCGGCGTGGGCCAAGTTAGCTGAACTTGATCAACCAAAAGTAGACCCTTACTCCCCCTAGCTGTCATCCTGCGTCTACCAGTGGCACAAAGAACGCTTACATTTATTGCGTGAAATTCTGTTTGGGTGCCGGAGTCCATGCTTATTTTTGAACGTTGTTAAGTTTCACGAGGTTTAAAAAATGAAATATTTCATTTTCATGACGCTTCCCGACCCCGAGCTCACCATTGCCAACATGTTCAAAAGTACCCGTGGGAAGAAACTGTTCATGTTTCGGCGGTTATCTCCATGCCCATGAAAAGCAAAGCCAGTTGCTATATTTTAAAATATAAGTGAAACTGTCCCGCAAAGATCTTAAGCTGGATTCACTACGTGATAACACAGCCCAATGCAAAGAAGGCTTTTTGCTTCCAGACCTTTACAGCCAGGCCACTCAATTGAATCAAGGAATAACAAATTCAGCACGGCCAACATTCAGCGAGCTAAAAGTGGTCGGGCACTGTCAGGTCCAGGGTAGTGTATTTTGTCAAAAATTGCTGCATGATCACTCCAAAATGACGCAAAGCTGTTCATTCTCTTAGTATGACGGCATCATGACGGGATATCGCCCGGACTACATTGCTTTGAAATGCCACCAAAGCTCGCTGTGGCGAGCGAGGTCAAGGCGAACTTAGTTTTACTTAAATTCTGATGAAATTTTCACACTGGGTGACCTGGCTAGATCCGGCTAAGCTGTCACGCTTTCTAGAACTAATATATTTTCAACCGCTGAATGGGAGTTCACACAGTTCGCACTGACGAGCTCGACTCCTTAGAAATTATGTTGTGTGAAATTTTAGGTAAACTGTCTAATCTGTCAGGGCTTACCTGCAGCGTTGCCGTGACACTGCGATTTCGCCTTCTCCAATCGATTAACATGGAACGTATGAATTTTCCGCTTGCATTAAAGCAGAAGAACACAGACTGTGACCTTGTCCACATTTCAACGAGCACGCATAGCAGCAACGCAAAGCAAACATCTGCTGATGAGAAAAGGAACCACCGCATACAAAAAAGTGTGCAGCGGTGTGTGCAGATATCAACACAGACGCTCTCGTACGCAAACTATCGACCCAAACTTTCGGGGCGTTGTTAAAGGGAGTGTTCCACATTTATATGGGATTTTCAACTGAAACAGCCATCTTGAAGACCCTTCGGTCCGTTCACAATCCTGCCCTTCTTTAGGCATAAGCCACTTCAGTTTCTGAGCTATCCGCCGCGAATATGGGGAAAGCTATAAACGGAAGGGTATTTCAAAGTTACCTTAACATTATGACGTCATAATAACGCCATCCAAACTCTGCCATTCCATGAGCCATGCTGCGATTAAGGCCAATACAAATAACATTGTTGGGGCATTTATGTCTGGCGTTTGTGAGCGCGGTTTCCATATATAACGGCCGTCAACCGGCTCTCAACCATTGTTGTGCAAGGTACGATGACGAAATGAAATCGTGACGCATTGAGAAGCATATTAACTAAACCGTGAAATGTGCTGTCTGGAACAGTCTTTTCCACTTGAAAAGTATACCAATAGTTATAAGTGAGTTTGTTTCATCACCTTTGAGTTTTGCTGCAACGTCTTCAAATGTGAAATATTCCCTTTAAAGAAACAACCTTTACATTCCATGCGTTCGGCTAACAAGGATCATCTAGTCGCTCGAACCTCGCACTCACTTCCGTCGTTGTAACTGTATTGGCGTTGGGCTTCATTAAAGTACAGCCTGATTCTAACATGCGATATGGCGAGCAACGGTTCCGTGTTACACAGTTTCTCAGCAGCTCAGGGCATTGCGCTGTCTAGAGCAGTCGTTTTCACTTCAAAAAGCGTACCAATAGTTATAAGTGCGCTTGTTTCATGATATCTGATGCTTGCTTCAATATTCTCAGCTATAAAACATTTCCTTTAAGGATGGGTGTCAGATATCAGCAGCCAGAGCATGTGAGCACGGGAAACAAATGCACGGTGTATGCTAGCGTACCGGCCACATCTTGACGGAATTCAGAACTGCCCGGCCCGTAGATTTGCCCATGATCGACCGAGAAGCAACCAATGTCAGCTTTTTGAAACCGGTCTTATACACGAGACACGGAGTCTTAAAACAAAAAAAGATTGGACCCTGAAAAATAGACAGGCGTGTTGTGGACTGTCACCCTTGTTGACCGGACCAATATCCCCCCGAAAAATGTACTTTAGTTTGCGACTTGTGGACATGATTGCAAACATCTTAAAGCATCGCAAATACATCGATGACCCCGACTTAAGTTGCCGCATCTGAGCCCGTATATAGCCAAGCCTATGCCGTATAGCCAAGGCTGCATACATCCGAAGCATTGAGTTGCCTCGGCAGGACCTGGTCGGCATCATAGTTAGCCATTATTTCAAGCACGTAATTTGTGGATAGACGTGCGAGTTCTGCATCAGTAGACATCCAGTCTTAAATTTTCATGACAAACCGATTTTCCACGGCGTTGACGAAAACTGTTGAAAATGATAGTCCAATGTGTCTTGGTTTTCTAGCTTTGTTTGCGACGTCACGTACACAGCAATTTACGACTTCCACAAAAATTACCGTTACCGTCTAGCTTTTCCTATGACGCAGAATGCTTCTTTCCGCTTCTACGCTGCTTGAAGAATTATGGAAGACAAAAAGAACGTTATGGCCGGTCAGCTTCGGCTTAGTCAGTTGTTTATGATAACCTGCCATTTCAAATTTGTCGACAAAATACCAATAGTAACAGCATTCAACTTGGATAAGTCAGTTTTTAGCCTTATTGCTCGAAAAAAACAGGAGAATGATGTGTAGAGATCTCATGTGATGTTCTCATGTGATGATCTCATATCTCATAATAATGTGTAGATATAAATAGATGGGTTGATATCTCAGCAGCCTTCCTTTATCGAAACAATAGCAGAAGAAAATAAATAACAATAGCAAACTTCTGCCATTGTTTTGATAAGGGCGTGTTGCCGAAATATCGACCGATCTATTGCTCAGTTCTCCTGTATTTTGCCGAGGAATAAGGCTATTGCTCCCGTCTTATAGATGTGAATAATGTTTCTCGCAAATGCATTGAACAGCTTACGTAACATGCAACTTGACGAAAGCGATCGGAGTTATATATTCCAAACGTTAAGCCGTTGGCAAGCGTTCATGTATGAAGAACTTTGCTGGCCTTTAGACCTGGCCTTAAGCCGGCGGGTCGTTAAATCTGAAGACACGCCCGGAAACCATTCCATGGTTACACCGATGGCGACGAGTGTTTGAAATAATGGACATTGCACATAAGAGCTTTTCTCTAGAGGAAATCGTTTTCAGGAATAAAGGTGTTCGAAGGGTAGGACTATTCTGTTCATGAGCTTGCTTACGGCTTGAAATGTTTCATAGCTATTCATTTAATAGTGATCAATTGTCAGATTTCCTAACGACAGAAGGGCGGCATAATCAATGTAAGTAAGTAAAACTTGAGCGTTATGCCCGAAGAGCATAGCGTCGTTTTAAAGCTGATTGATACAGCCCAGCTCCTGTTGTGTTTACCGCAACAAGTTGTGTTTTTATATTGGGTTTTGATTGATATTTTCAAGCGCAGGAGTGCATCTGTCACCAACTATGCAGCCTAAGAAATATGAGGCCTATGAATAAACGAATCATTGCTGCA